ACGTAACCCACCCAGCCACAGCGCCCCGAACACCGCATCTATTATCACCCCGGAACGTTGCAGCACCGGATTCCAGGCAGATGGAGCAGCTCAGTAGCACAGCTCAAAATGCCGTGTGTCGACTGCACCGATTGTGGCATCTCCAAGCTAGAATATCCAATAAGACCTCAGCTCGCCTTCAAAAGACGAGACAGGCATCTTTATCAAAAGATCCAGCCTCCACGATAAGCGCCAGCGCATTATACATTTCTGCTTCGCGCCGAATTCATGTCGTATTTCCCAGCTCACAGTCGATTAGGAAACGGATGACCCGGCGGCAATCTTTACCATGTACCGATATTGGCCAAGAAGGCGACGTGTATACTTGAAACCGCCAATGGTTAAGTTCATATGCGAGTGGGCAATCCGTCTTGCTGAAGTTCAGGTTTTGAAGGAGCTGAAAGATGAGGCAAACCAACAGGTTGGATATCTCTTGTTCAGCACGTTTCACGATACAGTTGCCGCTACATCAACTCAACGATGAAATGTAAATTTCTCACCAATCTCTGCACGACCCTTCCACCACATCTACCTGCATAGCTCCAGATATCCCTAGATTTTCGGTTATCGTTTCCGTCTAAAAGCTCGCTAGTATGAAGGAGCACGGAACGCAATCACAACCGCGAGCCTCCAATGTATCTCTTAGGTACGCTGTAAACCCCACTAATAACGCGGCCAGGCAATATGCTACTTTAAAATCATGATAATTTTAGGGTCAAACCATTCTTGCACTTATAGAACACCATCATCGCAACATGTGATGGTGTATCGCATGGCGGGCAAGAGTTTGCGACCTGTCAATGACATGGTATCTCAAATATAACTGGAACAAGCTGCGCAGCTGAACGAGAATCAAATTCTCTTTCCCGAATCGTCATGACTATCGATCTGGGCACGCAGCCTCAGCTATTGACTACGATATCCGGCCAACGTGAGATTGAAGGTGATGGTTACAGCTGGGATATTCGGATGGCCTAAAGCTCCCGATCTGTGAGTTCTATTATAACCGTCGTGATCGCTGGGTAGAAGGCCGTACATAAACAAGGGTATTTTGGTACCTGGCTAATCAGCTGACTGGCAATTTCAGCCATAAACGTTGGTAGCACAACATGTCACCATCGACAAGATGAAAAAACCGTTCGCGATATTGCATTACAAATCTAAGACATGGAGGAACATATGTACATCATACTAGGGGACCTGGGATATCAGTCATTCTGAGACCTCTATGGGTCTTCTCTCGGCCCTCCGCATGAACGACTGCAAACGTGAACAAACTCCCAGCTACCTGGTCAACTGGTCTCGCGAGCTTTTACTTATAACAATCCCTGTCGTCGCTCATTTCAGCTTGAGAGCTGGCCAATTTACTAACCGTGTAACTGACGAGTTACTCGAATTCGATCAAATTGTTTCCTAATCTACGTCGAAAGGTTTAGTCGGTATCGGTTACACGCACGGACGGCCCTGACCGCACGTACGTGAAGATGCATCTGATATCCCGGGTCTCGTGTCGCGGCGGGAGCTTTCATGCAGGGGCCCCTTCGCTGTCGTCCATTTTCATTGGAACGATCCGTACAGCTACGAGCTGGGTGGTATATCGAAGGCTGCGAAATGGGCATTTTGTCATTCCGCATCGCGCCTCACTCTCTTACCGAGGGCAAGCTAAGCTTCAGGTGGCTTTGTTTGACTTGTCGGCTCACGCATGCGGCCCGAGTCACTGGTTCTCCCGATCCCGTACCAACCGTCTGGGTTTCATATCGCGGCTTTGCTGCAGCTGCCGTCACCCATTGAAGCTAATGTGGTTTGTCGATCTCTGCAGCGGACGTCACCGTAAGGTTAAGACTTCTGATGTAATGCGAATAGAGACAAGCTGAAGTGTCCATGCTATGGCGGACCTATGAATATATCCATGTCTCGACACGTTCATTTACAAGTCGCTACGTCACTGAAGCTTATTTACATACGACACTCGGCAGCTTCTCAGGCCATGACAGGATATTGTGAACAGAGGGGCGACGTTACTCAGCTTCCTAAAAATAACCTCGTAACAACCGACGCTCGATCCTTACAATCTCCCATTGACTGAGAATCTTAATGAAACGGACGATAATAGAAACCAGCGTTCCAAAGCCGACAAGGTCAGGCGGGAATTCTAATAGTATCAGAGGGGGTCGTATCAAGTCAAAAGTTCACGTACCCAGCTCTAGGTATTTCGTCACGGTATCAGGTTTTAGGGAGACTTGACGAATGGTGAAATTGTAACCCAGTCAAGCGCTCCACCTACCCTAGCCAATGAAGGCTCGTCCCCACGTGGCACGAACAGGGGGTAGCTCCAAGTTCAAAAACGTCTGCCAATTTGATTTTCTTCTGGCCCGAAACGTCGGTAGCTCTTCAGCAGCATCTACAGAAGCAAACCGGCATGTTGCATCTTTCTCGAAGGGTGCTAGAAACCCTCTTGCTCGCGATGTTACCAGTCTTTGCCAAGTTATCAAATTTTCTGGGTAATTATTCGCTAGCCCTGGGTTTTTAGGCCGGCGCTTCGGCGACAAGGGCAGTTTTCCCGCGATCTGGGTCTGCCACGACTTCCCCGACGATCGAGCATGGGGACAGGAGGGAGCAAGCATGGGGTTCAAGCAAACAAGAGTCCGGGGTTTTCGCCCACACGGACGCGTCCGAGGTGCGCCAGCCCTGCGATTATGCAGCTTTGTTTTTTTTTTTTTTTTTTTTTTTTTTTTTTTCCTTTGCTGCCGTCAGCCGCCACCCAACACCTTGCCAACCCACCGGCCTCCACCAAAGGACCACGGGGGTTCTCTAGAAATTCCAAACGGGAGAGGCGTTACCATTAATAAGGCTTTTCGCTATAACTCCGCGCGACGGAAAACAGGGAGGACGGGACCGGAGACCGGTTCGATGCGTGCGTGTCTGCGTGCATTGCATGGCGCGCGCACGCACGTACATGACATTTACATTTGCCCTAGCCCGGGCATTTCATTCCCATTTCATTCCTTTATAATGAGCAAAGTTACATCATCCCGTCGTATGGGCACGTCCCCTGGGTAAGAACCCGCCATCCCGCCCTACTGCACGATACCCTTATACCTATACCGGTGTACATATTCCGTATGTAGGTGGGTATGGACGACCACCGGTTTACCCCAGTAAAACGGGATCCAAAGCCCACGAGGTCGCGATGTCGCTACCCGCCCCTTTCTTCCCTGCATCCAGGCCACCCTTGCTACATAACATGCACATACACATATCTACATAGTACATCCTACATGACATACTCCGTATGTATGTACGTAGGTAGGTATGTATCTCGGTGGACCATCGACCCATCATGCCTTAGCTTGCTTGCTTTCTTTTTTTTGCCATCGCAGCTCTGTTTGCCTGAGAAATACCGACTCGCGAGTTTCCAGTTTCCCATGTCATTGGAGATTGTGGCGTCCGCATAATGCCGTGGAACCCGAACCATTCCAAGGCCTCCCCGGCCTTTGGCGGCTTGCTCGCAAAAACATTTTTATTTAATTTGCACTTTTTCTCAATATCCGCCGCCGGCGGTGCGGACTTGTCCGCAGGCTTTCGGCCCCCAATTTCCCAGCCGACGATCTCCCAGTTCGAACAACCTTGGAACTGCACAGCTACTAGGCAAAGGCAAAGGCAATGCAAGCCAGGTACCTGGAAAACAAACCCTACCTTAGGTACATTTGTAGGTAGCGTGACTGATCGCCCGTTACCCGCTTGCTTATCCTAACATATGGGTACGGTGTCATCGTCATTGGGAGATCAGGGCCCTCCTTCCATGAATCCGGAAGAATCCGTTCGGGTGTGGGCTCGTCTCTCAATTCGTCCCTCCTATCGAAGGAGCATATGTGTGGGCTTTTGCTCACTTACCCTCGATGCAAGTGAGGCTGATAGTGATAGGTTTGCCTTCGGCCTCGATGAGCTGGATACGATAAGGCGGTGTTCCTCGCGTGACCGCGCACTGAGCAATCACAGCCCATCGCGCATCACCATCTCTCCAGTGTATCAGCTTCATCTATCTATCCATTTTCGCCTCAACGAAGTCGTGTTCTTTTGCGTTCCGTGCGAAGAAAGGAAAGCCTTGGCTATACCTCTTATCGTTCATTACCTAGTGGGTATTCGGCTGGCTTCGAAAAGTCTGGTCCGGATCTCCTGCCTCCCGTCCCACTAACAGCCTTACAGGAATAATGATGCGTGTCTAGCGTGCCCCTTGTCGCGGTCTAGACACGAGACGATCCTACTTTTGATTATCGTAGGCCGGGGTGCGGGTTGTCGTCGCCCGGTAGTGCGTCCGTAATCATACGGCCGCTATGACCTTGGGAGCTTCTGGGCAAGTTCTAGTATCCATAGAATCTACTACATGTTAAGGCGAATTGGTACTGGCCAGACATATACACACGTGTGTGTATATGGACATAAGTAGCTCTCGACCACGCTCATCAGGCAGGGCTATGTAAATAATGGAATCCAGACCAAAGTAACATAGGATCTTGGACATTAGGTACTTCCATATCCCGCTTCAGAGGTAGGAGCGATGTTGTCTCTAGACCAGTGTTAGAAAACCAATACATCTCAGTTTGGATCTACGTGAAGTGTGGCATCTACGACTCAACCACAATTAATTACAAGAAATGTGAATGAAAACTATGAAATTGACTAAGTATAGGTATACTGGGAGAGCATACACGCCAATGATTTGGTCCCATCTTTGCAGTCTCGAATGTTGTCGTCAGGTTGCACCTTAACATGCTTCACCGAATCCCGACCTAGAAACTGCTAACTGGGTAGTAGCGACACCATTTCCGTAGAGACCTGTCATTAATCCAATCCGTATGAAATGTGCATGTGTATCATGCTATTACACAGTAGCTCTAGTAGACCTGAAATGGATAGATATGATAATGTGAAAGAAAGGAACACAGAAAAAAAAAACAAGTCACCGCACCTGGGACTCGAACCCAGAATCTTCGGCTTTCTAATCATGTAGAAGGCCGACGAGTTAACCATTTCTCTAGTGCGGCTCAGCACTAACTGGTGTATGTTGATGTTTTCGTTGCATACTCTGTTGGGTACTTGTGTATATTAAGGAAAGGAAAGGAAGGTACGAGGAAACTTGCTGGGGTAGGAAAACTCTATGTGTTTACTCCACTGATGATACGATTTTACTGCTTACTACGCCATGGTAGATGGTAACTTCCTGCTACTTTATTGTTTTTATTTGTGGTATGTTTTGGGTAGTTGGTCGTTGCAATATGTTTGACTCTTGAGGTGAAGTGTCACCCGCCGAAATTACAGCAGAGTAAGTCACTAGGAGATGTAGAACACCTACTTCATATAAAAAAACATGAATGGCTAAATATCACCTTGTGATAGATGTTTGCGGGTATCCTTCATCGCTAGGGACACCTCCATATACTTCATAGAAGCCTGTGACTGGCCGGGACGTACACAGGGACGAACATGTATCCGAAATCCTCAACATGGATATATATTTCTGAGGGTAAATCGATAGAATGCGTCACCAAAGGAGATGTTGCGAACTTCCAAACCTCCCAACAATAACTTCGAAAGGTCACGCATATTTTACTTTTGCATCATCTTCTGGTAATACTCGCAACAAAACTCTTAGGGTCAAAGTATGATAGACAGTAGCATTCGATGATAATCAATCATTCACAGGGCACCCGCACGCCATATACCAGTTGATAAGAGCTCCCTAAGGTCACATAACAACGGTAGATCCTTCAGCTCTCATACCAACGTCAACACCAAAAATATTTCTCTCTGACATACCAGTTTCGTTCCGAGATACAATACTATACACCGCAATCAAACAACCATCGACCACCTTCCCAGCAACCCCCAGGCCCCAGTAACCTAACATGCCATCAACGCACCACCGAAGCCAACCCCGGAGACAGTGGTGCTTAACGTACGCGCGGTTCATCTAGCAACGACAAACCTGCGAGGCCGTCAATGACCGGCTCACCGCCATCTGCTGGGGACCCTCTGACCCTGGACTCTACCGTGCGCGCCATGGACGACACGATAAGCTAGGCCGGATCTATCTGCGGCAGCTTCCGGACACCCAGCGGGCGGCTCGGCGAGTACGGGGCCGCGGGATGACGTGGGAGAACTGGGACGCGGTTTGGCGGACCGCGCATGCAGGAGAGGGCGCTTATGAATGCGGGATATCTCGTCTGAGGTAACGGAAATGAGCGATTGGGAGACGAGGGTTCGGGGGAACTGGTCAAGCGGGATCTTTGGATGTGGCTCCGGGTTCACCCATTCAGGGGATGGGCAGGGAGCTGCTTAAGGTTATGGGTTCTTAGTAGCTTTGAAGACCTGAATTTTATTTGATCTTCTATAATTCCAATGTAATTAATTAAGCGAGGGACAGCCTCGCTTAGACTTCACATGGTGTACTTCTTTGGTGAATATCTTATTAATGCGCTTAATACCTACAAAGGACGAAGAGTGAGACAGCCCCTTGCCTGTCTCATTCATTAGCACTCAATAGTAGCGTTCGGGTAGTCCTTACGTGACATATGGCTTATGGGATGACATGAGGCTGGGAGGTTGAGATATGGAAGTACAGCAACTAAGACTTCGCAATGGCATGAATACCAACTAAACTCATGTAATTTCCTTCTCGAGAGTAGGTAACATTAGTGACTACGTGATATATGACTCTTGAAGTTAAAGCCTCATAACTGCGTTATTAACCTTCTGATAAGCTGAATTAGTGCGTCACTTAGTACCTATCCCAGACTCATTTTCTTAACTTGCATATAATCAAACGTATTGTAAGCAATTTCTTGAATTTACCTTGCCTGATGGCTATCCAAGATCATGGGCTATACTTCCGTGTAGGAAACCTCTTGAAGCCGGTATTCAACAATGATAGAAGTGTCCACGGGTTGTTAGCCATATGCCCAGTAAAAATAAGAAATGAAGTCAGTAAAAGTGCATAAAAGGCGTTTGAGTTCGCTTGAGAATGCTGAGAGTTGCGATCCTGTAAGCTTTCACATTTGACCTCATTACCGAACACTTCGCTCTGCACTAGTCAACTTCACATCGAATACGATACCGCACACACTTAAACAAAGCGAACATTGGACACCTTACTCCTTCAATCTCAAGGCCGAGGTACCCGAAAATGCCTTCTCGACAGGGAGGTCGACGCAGAAGACAACCTCGGAGACAGCCACCGAGAGAGCCCCTGACGCTCGAGGAATACCAACAGACGATAGCGGAAACCGATGAAGTAAGGGTAAGATTCGCGGATGCTTACGACAGACTCGGGCCCAGGGACTTCCGGCGGGGTATCATAGACACCACCATGCGCAACGAAGCCCGGGGCGTTAACAATAGCATCATAACGCTCGGAGATGAGGTCGCCAACTCCACGTATTTCCAGCGGCGCGCTCAAGGGCTCGAGAGGAGACCGGCAGACTGGATCGAAGTCCGGGGGGCTTGCCGCGAATTACTCGAAGCATTGGTTACGTTGATGCGAATCCAGCAGAGAGCCTTGAGAACGGCTGGACTTGAGAGGTAGGAGGGGACTGGAGAGGCGGGAAATGGAAACAGGACTCGGTGGTAGGAGAGGAACAGGACTCAGGCAGCAGGTGATGCGATGGCGAGAATGGGCTGTATTTGAGATATCTTGCAGTCGTGTCACACGTATAACACTGCGATCTATCACACGCTTAACGCCGCGCCTTGCCACAGCGAAGCGCTGAACAACAGCTCCTCACATCAGGAGCCCCGAAACAAAAAACAACAGCTCCTCAAGAGCCCCCGAAACTACAAGATACGGTAGTCCTAGTTGGAGGGGACACGGAATCATGAACTGCTAGCCCTTGAGGCAGGAAATTGGCTCCTGAAGCCGCATGTACATAGTATTAGCGGACAGCTTGTCACGTCTCGTACCCCCTGGGAGGTCTGGATTAAATCCTCATGACGTTAAACATTATCAATCAAAATCAATCAAACCGCGGGTGGGTGTCCTTGATTCCTTACCTATAGTACGAAGTGAAGTAATACGACTATATTACCTACTTGTCTATTAATAGCGAGTGGCCACCGAGCTCTTTCATTATCTTGGGGTCTTCGTAGGACTACAGCGAGGCCCGCTTAATCCAGGCATCCCGGTCGTGTGTCAGGTGCACGGAGGTTGACATCTTGGTGTTCAGAGAACCAAACAAAAAGCGGCATGGAGAGGCTACAGGATTCCTCCTAGGACTCCCAGTTTGTCTGACTGAATACATGCCTTAAAACACCTGATACTCGTACGTACTACGTAGACGTTGCTTGGAAGAATGCGTTACTTGGGACGTGTAGTTCTTGCACCTATTCGGATGACGTAGCTATTATCTGGAGTAGTACACAGCCGCAGGTCATTTGTTCCCCATGCCATAATCTATCGAGGACTATGTGCACCATACTTGCTCGTCCATCTAGTCGATACCTATAGAAAGCCACTTGGATCCAACAAAAGGTGAAGCTCAGTAAATACTGACCGAAAATATGCCCGGATGAAATAGAAAAGTAGCCCACAGAGGCCTCTTACATCGTCCATGAACCGAGTTCCTTGAACTCCTACGTCACATCCAGCATCAACATCAAACCCACTCCTTCACATAGATCCTTTTTTCGGTAAGTATCACACATCTCCCCCAGCCCCACAAGCACTAGCAACCGGAAATGTCGTACTACTCCCCTACCGCAGCCGAAATGCAAGCGGCCCGGGACAGCGTCTAAATACCGGTTCCATAGAGCGAGCGCCAAGATCCTGGAAGTCTGCCACGATCCCGCCACGGACGCGGAAACCATCGACTCCATCAACGGGGACCTGGAGGGGACCAGCGCCACGCAGGATACCGTATCGGCGTGCCTGAGCCGGCTGATGGTGAGCGCGGCGTGGCAGAAGACGCTGTTCCTTGAACAGCAACCGACGGTCCGGAAGTGGGCGGCGCGTCGGGGCGACTTTGCCACACTCACCAGGATTCTCGACGTGCTGGGAATGCGCTGGGGAGAGTGGGGTTAACGCTGGAGAAGTTTTAAGTAAAAGGAAAGATTTTTTGAAGCGGAAATTATGCGTATGATATCCTTAGTAGAAAAGGAGGGTACCCCGGAACCGTACCGGTGCGGTTCCTCCATAACAATAGCTTTCCCTAAGGCGTGGAATAGTTACATTATTGGAATTAGAGCCGGACCCTTTATATATACCTAAGAACGGTTCCAAATTATGGTATAGATATTTAAAAACTTAAGTCTATGTTACATTTTTTTATATTTATAATTATCTATTAGGTATTTATTTAGGTATAAATATATTTATTTATTTCATTATTTATATACTTAATTTATTATTTTATATGTATATTTATATTGTAATTTAAATCATATATTTATATAATTATAAATTACAGATTTACCACTAAACCATATTCACTTATACACATAAGAAGCAAATATTAGATTGTTTTATATCTTTTTTTTAGGTGGTATAGATGGTATATTTGGTACGCTGGCCTGGCTGGTATGAATCACGATTTCTAATATGAATTACGATTTCTGGTACGAATTATGATAGCTGGTACAATGGTATGGTGGTACAGTGGTATGGTATATAATATCTTGCTTAGTACTTTTGGTATATTTAAAATTGTTGAAATAACTTGATATTTTGCCTGGAATATCTGGTATGTTTGGTATGGCTGGTATGGTGGCATGTTGAAATACTCTTGGCATAGTGAAATGCTCCTGGCATGGTGAAATACTCCTGGCACGTATATAGCTGGCACAAATTAATTTGCTGGTATGGTTTGAAGATTCATGGTATGGTATTATTATTAGGATGGTTCTTTATTTTGTAACCGATAGGGGACGATTCCTCACCTTGTAACCGATAGGGGACCGTCCCGTAATGGTTCCGAGGTATCACCCTTTTCTACTAAGGATATGTCTTGGAAGGTTATGCCTGACTTAGGTACCTAGCTTGTATTATCAAGGGGCT